ACCCCAGTTCTGTATGCATAAATAAATAAATCTTAAAAAAATTTGGAAAAAAAAAAGCCTCAATATTGGATCTGTATACAGAGCATCTCAATTTTCTCTGCTATTTCTTGAACAACTTCTACTGTTTCAAAGACATTCTTTCAGAGTAGCTAAACAAAATTAATTCATGCAATGTCTATTTGCTGAATGCTTATTATTTTCTTCTACCTCTTGAAATCAAAGAATCAGACATAGGGAGAAATATCATACTAAGGAGGTAGAGGAAGCATTCCGGGGTCTTTGTCAAGTCTGTTTCACACAAATTGAAAGCAATCATCCATTTTACTCTCCCAATGAATCTCTCTTGTACTCCATAGCATGAGGCCAGGCCATAAAATGGTGTTTTAATGTTGAAAGCTAGATTAAAACAACGAAAACAAAAACAAAAACAAACACCTTAATGATGCCTGGTCCTGCCTGAATATTAAAAGACAGCTTTGAATACCCTCACAGTAGTTGTACAATCAGATGATTGCTGGTATTTCCCACTAAGATGGAACAAAACAACAGTTGTTTCAAGAATTTATGCTAAACCTACAGGTATGAATATGTTTACTCTGCCAAATAGTTTTCACCCAAGGCTTGTAATTAACAGCATTACTACCAGCACATAAGAATTGAAACTAGTCTCACGTGGTTCGGAAAAAGCAATCTTTGAGGACAAAGCATTTGAAAATTAAATGATAGAAAATAAAATGTAACATTACATTTTGAATAAAGAATAAATATTTTATAATATTAAATAAAGTGATTTCTTTAATCTGACATAGTGGAATCAGTACCTTTTATACTAGAAAAATAATCTTCGCCTTTTTTAGGGTGTTTTAAATGGGCACTAATGTACAAGGCCCTGCACCTACAGCATTTCTTCTCCTGTTTCCAATTCTTGATACACTTTTTCCCCTTCAAAATTTTATTTTATGCCCCTTGTTTACAAATCTATAACCTGTATATTTTGCAGTTTTATTTTATGGCCCTTGTTTACAAAACTATAACCTGTATTATTTCGGAGCAATGCTTCATGCCTCAACGTGTGGGCCTGTATCAGTCACCCTTCCCCGAAGCTCCAGGGCTGACATGCTGTCAGTGAGTCTTTGTACCCACTCTTCCGCACTGCCCACGCCCCGCTGGTAACCACTATAGCTCTCAACGTGTCCAGAAGTTATTTTTGTTGTGTTCCGTTAGTTTATTTTCTTTGGCTATTTATAGTCTGCAAAGAAGTGAATCCATATGGTTATTGTCCTTTATTTTCTGACTTATTTCACTTAGCATTGTCACCTCAAGAACCTTTTTTTTTTTTTAACACAAGGCAGTATTTCATCTTTCTTAATAGCTGAGTAGTAGCCCACTGAGTATCCCTTTCACAAATTCTATCTAGTCATCTGCCAATGGGCATTAGGTTGCAAATCTTGCTATTTTCTACTAAACCAAAGGCCCTATGTTTTCAGCAAAACATATTTTTTCTTTGGTAGTTTACATAAGGAAGGCTAATGATAATGCTGAAGTCACTGTATATTTATTAAGATTAATTTAAAAACAGAATTTGTCTTGCAAGCCAATTACTTATATAATAATAAACACTCATTTTTATAGATCTACCTAAAGATAAAATCAGTGTTCTCAATAATACTCTAAGCCAGGGTAATCTTAATGTGTGGTAATCAAACATCTGGAACCATGTGAAAAGTGCAAATTCTCAGGCCCCAACCCACATCAACAGAATCGCAAGCCTAGAGGTAGGGTCCAACAACCCCCCCCCCATTTAAATAAGCCCTCCAGGTAGTACTGATCCATGCTAAAGTTTGAAGACCATCTCTCCAATTTAGTCTAGTAAGCTTTCACTTGGTGTTTTATAAATTAAGCTGAGACTTTCATACTACTATTTCAGCCCCCGTATTGTCTCAAAGGCAATGTTTGCAAGGAGACTGAAAGGCAGGTGAAAGTCATCTTTCTCCAACTATAGAGAAGCCTGATACCCCTTTCATTTCCCTTCCTCCCAACCAGGCATCTTGTTGAGCTTTTTGGTTTTGATCTATTTCACTTTAATATGTCTTGACACAATAAAGAAAGCTAGGGTAGATTTCCTTGGGCTAAACTAGCAGTTCCTAGCTAGAACATGATTTCTTTTCAAATCTTTCCCTCACTACCCTTCCGCAGGTGAAAAATCATTAATTACTATAACTGTACACTCAATATGAATAGTTTACAAGAAATTGTGATGCTTACACTTGCTAGCTATTTCGGGTGAGAAGTACTGATGTGTTTTGTTTTAATTATTTTTATTGAGTTACAATTTGCACAGCAAAACAATTCCCACATTTAAAGTTTTTTTTTTAACTTTGAAGTAATTGAGACTTAACAGAAAAGCTGCAAAAATAAGAACAAATTCCCATTTCACCTCACTTGCCCTATTGTTAATATCTTACCTACCCACATTAATTAATATTAATATTTACAACACTACTAGCTAATCTATAGAACTGACTCAAATTTCACCAGTTTCCCCACTAATAGTTTCTCCTCATTCAACCAAGGCTCCACACTGCATCTAGTCACGTGTGCCTTTAGTTGTAGCCAAGCCATGGCAGATCCTATTGATACGGTTTTTATAAAAACTTGCATTTTAAAAAACCTTCCTCTCACATGTTAACATGCCATTTTAGAGACTGAAAAATAGAACAGGACTGTGTAGGTTGAAATGTTTCCCCAAATCCCTATATAATCCTCACTCTCTTTGTCTTCTCTCAAGGAGGACCAAAATTCCATCAAATAATATTTAATTTATATGAAGCTTATATTGTTAAGTTTCCATATCACCATAATCCACTGCCTTATTTCAAAGTGACTGAATCAAGGATTATCTCAATATACAAAAATGCCTAATTCTGCTCTTTGTTCATCTTTGTAGTTCCTATAAGTGTGTGATCAAACGACCCATACCTATGTGATTTTTCATTTTTATATATATTATTGTGTATTTGAAGCTGGGTCTCTAATATAAATTGTTTTGGGATCCACAAAATTAAGCAGATAATGATAGAAATGCCAAAGGTGGCTATAAAAACTATGGTATATCGCCCAAATCTAGACTAAACTTAATACATTAATCTTATTTTGAAATATTTGGGGATGCCCAAATCCAGGTGCTTTACAAACAGGAGGAATCTGGTCCCACGGCTTCTGCCTCTGCCACAGGCCCCTTGTCGCCTGTGGCGGGGGCTACACTGCAGCTGACTATCTCTTCGCAGGGAGACTGTTCTCTGACCTTGATGACCCTTAGTTAGGAAAGAAGATAGCAGAAAGAGCAGAGTTGGCAGAAGCTGACACCAATATACAGCCCTCCTGAACTCTGCTGGGCAAGGAGCCCAGGAATGGAAGGAAATACGTGCACACGGTGTATGCTACTTCATGTTGCTATATATTAATATTGCAGCATGTATACAGTCGGAACGTCTGAAATAGAGCACTGATTGGCTATCGCAGAAAGAAAGAAGTCATAATCTCGAGATATACGTTCCTTTAAATGGAAGGATGCAAGAAGCAGTCACTGGCGAAAGTGGAAATTTTTCCTAAAGCTTCAGAAAATTGGTAGTGCCTAGGGTCCAGCCTAGCTGAAGACCACCCTCCATGAAGGGACCTCAAAGGTCCTCATAAAGTTAATAAATTACCAAAATGCTTAATTTCTGTATATCACTGGTCTCTTTCAACCCAACCGACAAAATATTCAACTCAAACCGCCTTAAGGAAAAATTGAATTTATTGAGCGAAGACAGCATCTAGAGACAAGAACTTGTTTCACAGATAGGTAGATTTAGAGCTGCAATATGCCCATATAAGTATGAGCTTTTCTCCAACTCCCAGAAATGCTTCCCTATTAGTCACTCTCGGGTTTACTCTGCAAAGTCCAGTGGAAGAGTCTCATTGCCAAAGTGGGGTGAAGAAAGTCCCCAAAGGGTGGTATTCCTGGCTTATTATCAGACTTGGGTCACAGGCACCTCAACCAACTCCAGCTACCAGGAGAACACAAAGCATCCAATGGCCCTGACCCGAGTCGCGTGGGTCGCCCTCTCACCCCCACCCTGTGCTCCAGGTCCCTGATACCACCCGAGGCAAAGGGGTGAGGGGCAGGAGGATCCTCCAGAAAAAAAAAAGTTTCCACAGAAAAGAGTGAGTGCTGAGAGGCAAAACCTCCACTATTCACCCCAACTTATTAATAGTAAACCCCATCTTTGCACTTATTATGGAAGAAAAGAACTTTTAAAAATCATTTGATTGAAGCCCCTAATCAAAGTGTAGTTCTAAAGAGTGTAATCTCACACCTTGTACCCCAAATCTGTCTTCAGTTGCCACCCTTCCGCTAGTCTTTAGGAGATGCAACGCTGGGCGGTTCAGAAAGCCGGCACAGACTCAACTCCCTGCTCCCAACCGCAAAGCCGCGGGTCCGGCGTGACCCGCAGGATCGCGACCGGCGGGCACCGCGTCCGCCTCCATCCGCCTCTCCCGCACCCCACCTGTCCGGAGCCGGCTCGGGGACCGGCGCCCACCTCCCAGGCGTCACGACCCCTCTCATCCTTGACGGCCGCCACCAGCCCCCCTTGCGGAAGAAGCGGCGCTCTCAGGGGTCCCCCCACGAGGCTGGAAAGGAGAATCAGCTGGGTGCCAGGGGTGGGGTGCGGGAGAGGCGGATGGAGGCGTCTCTCACTCCCGTTCCCTCCCCCACCGTTTCCCCCGGCTGGTGGGCGGGCGCGCGCGCGGACTCGGAGCGGGGAGCGGCGGCGCCCGC